CTAGAAATATGCCTAAGCTATTGGTCAAACAATATTGTAATTAATATAGTTTCTGTGTTATTATTCAGGTCTGGGCAGCTGGAAAAAGAAATGAGCAGTCTCTGCTTATATGCAAGATGGCTCATCAGATAAAGTCTGATAACCTGAGTTCGACCTCATACACACACACACACACACACACATAATGTAAAAAATACACATACATAAATGTAAAAATTTCTGCTACTCTCCTCCTCAAAGTAATTTCTTCCTCTGGGTATTTATGCTGATGAAATCCTATTATATTTCTCCATGCCAGGCTTTCACTAAGTAATCTGAGCATGCAGACAAATTTCAATAAAATGAAAACTCATTTCTCTTATAAAAATTTGATTTTAAATTAAGTTATAAGCAAAGCCATAATTTTAAAAGTGAAAAATTAGATAGCCTCGTTAAAACATAAATGACTCAGCTAAGGCTGCTAAATAGCTAAATGACTGGGCTAAATGGCCTGGAGTATAAACCGTCTGTGATGCCCACCCATGGCTCGAGAAGGCAGCTCCTGACCAGGAACATGAGGATGTCAGGAGAAACGGAGACGAGGCTGAGGGAAGGGTTTACAGAGCAATCACCAATGTATCCTGAGTACTGGAATGTGATACAGTTGGACTCTGGTGAACAATGGCTGTTTACCACACTGAGCAATAGGAAGCTTCGATTTCAGCGGCATCAGCTCACCAAAGAGGGTTAGGTAATTCAGAGAGTGCATTCACACAGGGCCTTTTCCTTTATGAACATGTGACTACACTAACAGATGTACGCCCATGATATCACCCTGAAGGAACAATCACAAAGCAGGTTTTTCATCCTGAAATAAAGCCTGACATCTGCCATCTCCTTTCATCGTAAACGGTTGGTTTTACCAGTCTGCACTCACTGCCCCTCCGCCTGCCACTAGAGCGTAGTGGGTCCTCACCCACTGGGGGCACCCTTGCCTCTAATGGTTGTCTTTTATCACCACCCACTGATCCCTACAAACTGACCCATCTTTCAGTCTGACATTTCTGTTTTATGTGAACAGGGTCTCAAGCAGCCCCAGGATGCTCTGGAATTCTGGGCTACTATGTGGCAAGAATGCCTTGAACTATGGGTCCTTCTGCCTCCACCTTCCAAGTGCTAGAATTACAGGTGCCACCATTTCTGACTCCAGGCTAATACTGCTATGGTTTCCTTCCATGTTGGGTCATGTTCGTCTCCATTCCACACGATCACGCTCTGATTACATATTCTTTGATTCACTCTCATACTAACTACTTCTCTGAAAGAAATCCAAATCTCGGACAGTGGAGAGATGACTCAGTCAGTAAAGCCTTTGGCTCATGAGCAGGAGGACCCGAGTTGGGATCCTGGCATTCAGTTTCTGTTTGCTTGTTTTTGAGAAGGAATCTCTCTAAGTAGCTCTGGCTAGTCTAGAACTTGCTGTGGAGACCATACTAGCCCTGAGGAAGGAGGGAGACGGGCAGACCGCTGGAGCTCTCACTGGCCCACTAGCCAAGCCGTGAGCTCTGAGTATGGGAAGAGACCCTATCTCAGAAAATATGGCAAAGAGTGATTGAAGAAAACACCCAACATGGACCTCTGCCTTCCAAATACTGCCACACACATGTGCACCCACACACAGGAACATGTACAAACACACACGCCATGCACATACAATCCAAAGTTCATGTCTAAGATTGTCCTCTTCCACACTCTGATACACAAACTCCTCTGCCTTGCTTTAAAGGAAGAGAGAAGGAAAGGATGGAGAAGGAGAGGTTCATGCTAACAATCACCAGTAACACTGGCCTCATTCAAACCTTTGCTTCGCAGCTAACTTAGAAACATGCATTGTCATACCCAAACGTCTTTTTTTTTTTTTTAATTAGGCTCTACTTTATATTTTGGATGGGGTATTGCAGGAAAGTGACAGAAGGTCTCATGTAGCCCAGGCTAACTTCAAAGTCGCTCAGCAGCTGAGGGCTTCCTTGGCTTCCTATTCCCCTGCTCTCTACCTCCCAAGTGCTGGAAAGGTTCTGCATCCTTCATGCCTGCCCCCCCCTTTCTCTCTCTCTCTCTCTCTCTCTCTCTCTCTCTCTCTCTCTCTCTCTCTCTCTGTTTCTCTCTCATGGTTGGCTATTTGTTTTTTCTCTGCAACAGGCTGTACTTCTCCCCTAACTCTTCCATGTGAAATTTTTATTATTGGAGAATTTTTCTCATTTTTTTTATTTCCAGTTTATTTACTCACCACATCATGAGGGAACAGGAATGAGTTACAAATCTTGTCAACTTAAAAAGGTTAGAGCAAACACATAAAGATGTATAATTTTTCTAAAGGTTTATTTTACTAGTTTAAGCCTAAAGCCAATGATTTTTCCATCAAACTGTCCATGAAAAATCAAAAGGTGCTATCATCGTGTAGGCACAAGAGTCACAAAAGCAACACAAGGTAGAAGTACAACCCACACAAACAGAAAAAAAAAAATCACTCATTGCCTCATTTTCCCTAAAAGGTAATGACTCTACAGAAGGCATAAAGCAGGCGTACATCCAATAAAGACCTAGGAAGGGCTTCAGAGAGCTAAAATTTTAACCATCCAAGTCATCCTTAATCTCTGCAAATGACTCTACGCAGATGGAACACCTCATGGGAATGAACGCAGAGGCTAGCGACATTTATGTCTGTCTGAGATGGGCCATCATAAAAGCCACCACCTGAATGGAAGACAGGAAGAGCAGCCACCAGTACCTGATCGGAGTAGCACACAGGGGTGAGAGAAGAGAGAGCAGAAGAAATGAGAAAAAAACACAGAAGCCTTGACTAGCCAAGGTTGTACTGAGGTCTGCTACAGTGAATTCTGCTCAACTGCTGGCAGCGGACAGACCTGAACAAGGCAGAGCAACAGACCTTTTCCTCCCAAGGAAATATTTTCAAAGCAAGATCCCATCTTTAGGATTAAACCAAAATTAAATAAACAAAAACTTTATTTAAAGTGGAGAAAAGTATGGGGAGCTGATGAACTCCTGAATGAGTATGTCTTACTGACAAGAGCATAACAGGGCCTTAGACTCACGGAAATGGCAAGGCCTGCCTCAGATCTGGGCAGAGCCTTATTATTCCTCTGAATGTGAGCACTAATGCTTGCAGGGTGTGCAGAAAGAATCAACACAAAGATGACTGCAGCCTGAGGCTGCTCCCCTATGGGGCCCCTCCCAAGAGTAGCTAAGCTGCCGCCTCCTCATCTCTGCTATAAAGCTGAGTCTCCTGGCCACTGCATTCTGATGCATTGCCATCAGGGAGCACTGCCCACTGGATCCCAGCTTTCCTAAATGATGTCTGTCTTTTCTTCATTCTCTGTCACTTCAGTCCGGTCAATCTGAAAGCAGTGATGGTCACGACAGAAAAGTATAGTTTCGGGCAAGTAGCAATACGTTATAACCAACAGCTTTCTGCCATGTGGTCTTAGCAGCAATCAAAAACTAAATCAATAGTGGTCTAGGAAATAACCCTCCATTCAAAGAGGGTTTCTATCTTCAGGTCTCTTTTCTCCAAAACGGAAAAACATCAAATTGAATACAGACAACAGAATAAAGTAAAAAGAAATACTGGGGAGAGAGATGGCTCAGCAGGTAAGAGTGCAGCACGTAAGAGTGCAGAGGACTGGAATTTGCTTCCCAGCACCCATATCAGGGGGCTCATAACCACCTGCAATTCCAACTTCAACGGACACACCATCCTCTTCTGGCTTCTTCAGACATCTATGTGCACACATGCATACACACAAGCATACATGTGCATGCCACAAAAAAACACATAACTAAAAATAAGATAAAAATTTAAAAATAAAACCCTGTATCGTCTCTTAGTTCCCCATTTATTCTTCGGCAATAATACCCTTTATGATGGCCTTTTCCACAAGCTATTCTACATAGAGATAAAATGCTTTACATCTTAATAGTCAGTATCGGTTTTAGTATTCAGAAGACTAAAAGAAACTAAGATATGTTTATGAGAAAGGTCAGACTCAATAACTGAATATCATATTATTCTCTCTATAAAAAGGTACCATGTTTGTTCAGCTGTGACAGGGTGCACAGGAAACGTCTGAAGTACAAGAGTCGTGTGGTAGGTGGCCTTGAACTGATGCAAGCTGTACAAACCTCAGAACAATTTTACACTGAATTCATATAGTATACTTCTCCTTGGATCCCTGGGCAGAACCCACTGTGTGAAGCATGGCACTCTCTTCCCTACTTCTGAGTTTTCCGATCTCAACTGGCCATACCTGGAGGGTAACTTGTGGCTACACAGTGCCCAAAATGTTCAACCCATTGACACCTTCTCCTTCCAACACCCAAAATGTTCACCCCATTGACACTTTCTCCACCCAATACCCAGAATGGTCACCCCTACTGATACCCTCCAACCAGCCCCCAAACACCATCTGCATTGGTTTGAATGAAAATGACCCCACAGGCTCAAAGGAAGTAGCACTATTGGAGATGTGGACTTGTTGGAGTAGGTGTGGCTTTGTCACTGGGGGTGGGCTTTGAGGTCTCAGATGCTCAAGCCAGGCCCGGTGTGGCATTGCTCTTCCTGCTTCCAGTTGATCCAGATGTAGAACTCTCAGCTACTTCTCCAGCACCATATCTACCTACAGGCCATCATGCTTCCTACCATGACCATAATGGATCGAGTCTCTGAACTGTAAGCCACCTTCAGTTAAATGTTTTGTTATAAGGGTTGTCATGGTCATGATTTCTCTTACAGCAAGAGAAATCTGAAGACATCATCTAACAAAACAGTACCCAAAATGCTCACCCCACTAACATGATCTAACCAACCAGCACCTAGAAAACTCACCCAACTAACACCATCTAACCAAACAGCACCCGGAAAGCTCACTCCGCTGATGCCATCTAACCAAACAGCACCAGGAATGCTCACCCCACTGACAGTCACTTCCCTTTCTTCTTCTTACCTGATAGTGTGCCTGGGCTTGCTGAGCAGAGTTCAAGGTGACATTGCAGAGTTTGCAGAAGAGAGGCTTACAGAGCTCCTCCAGGGCAGAGTCTGGCTCCCCTCCCTTAGCTAACTCCTCTTCCCCTGCCAGAGGCAAGGATGCCTCCTGCCCAAAAGGCCTCTGTGGTGGAAGCTGCGAGGTCCTAGTGGACCTGGCAGCCACTGACATAGGAGGAGAGGTCGAGGGCCGCTTAGGTGGAGGAAGTCCAGCCTGCTGCAAGAGAATCATCAGGTAGGAAAGCCACGGGCATAATCCAGTGGGTGATGAGGGGCGGTGTCTTCAAACCTAAAGAACCAGGGAAGAAGATGAGAATGAGATCTCAGGGACAGTCACAGAAATAACACCAAAGGCTTTCTCTTCTCTAAACCCACCTTCGGAGCATCTCTCCTTAACCTTAGCCTCGCAGACTTTCCCTGCCTGCTTGTCCTTACCGACTCAGAACAGCTTCTGAGATTTGCTTTTTATTTTGCTTGGCTCAGTTCCAACCCCCATCCCTCTGGCCATGGGCATTAGCAGCCTTGCATCCATGTCCAATTAAGTTGAAAAGTCACGTGACTGGAACTGAACATCAAAGGTCATCCTCCAAACCCTTCTCTCTGGAATGCTGGACCACTCTTGATGGTGATGTGCACAACCAAAACAAACAGGCAAGCAAAGGAAGAAACAAGGGAAAGGGGCCCCCCCCCCCGGAGGCACCCACCCGGTTAGAAGCTCTTCCACCCAGAGGAGGCCAAAGCATAGAAAAGATCATCACCCAAGAATCTCTCTCCTTTTCTTTTCATTTACGTACTTTGTCATATTTGTTTTGACTGCGTGTGAGTATGTATGTGCAACATGGCACAAGCTCTTACACACATGTGTACCTAGGAGGTGTAGCAAGCACTTTACCCACTGAGATATGTCACCAGCCACCGTGTGTGGCTGTGTGGCGTCACACAGTCCAGGATGGCTTCCAGTTTGCTGAGAATGACTTGACTCCACCTCCCAAGTGCCAGAATTGCAGTCCTGCACAGCCACACCCAGCCACCTATCAGATCTTTAAGGCATTGCTACAACTAGTTGGAAGGTGGGCGACATCTGGAAAGAGGACAGCATTAAAGTTCTGCGAGGCAGAATGGACAGGGGCAGCCTGTAGACCCCACATGGCACAGTGCGCTGTTTGGAAGACAGTTTTGTTTTGCTTTTGTTTGTAAGTCAATTAAGTTGTCAATATTTAAAAATCAAAAGCTTCACAGAATCCAGCAATAGAAGGATAATCTGGCAACACTACACCCACGTCCTCCACTGCACACAACCACCTGTCTGGTGCCAAAAACAATATACCCAGGCCAACCTTCTCAGGGCCCCTTCAGCCCTCCGAGGGGCGCTGCCTAAAGGCATTCGGGTGGAGACTCTACTCCACACAGCTTTCGACTATACTCCTGAGGCCCCCGTAAATTTAAAATACCTTCTCTCCATCAGGAGACAAATCACACACTCAAAGCATCCAGACTGAATAGTGTCCAACCAAGTAATGGACCACACTATCCTAAGCCCTGTGGTGACTTATAGGCCATTTGTATCATTCCCTTTGCTTTCTATATAAGGATACACTCAGAGATGGTTATAATTTCAATTGTCAACTTGACAGGATCTGGAATTACCTAGAAAAGGAGGCTCAATGAGGGGTAATCCAGATTAGGTTGGCCATGGGCATGCCTATTAGGGATTTTCTTAATTAGGTTGAGGTGGGAAGACCCGTCCTAAAAGTAGGTAGTACCACAGCATGGTCCTGGATGGCATTAAAAGGAAGCAGAACTACACTCACATTGCTCTCCTGACCGTGGACCCATGAGACTGCCTACCATGACAGTATGAGCAGCTGCCTCAGGCTCCTGCTGCCTAGACTACCCCCACTATGGTAACTGAGCCTTAAACTGACAGACAAAATAGATAAACCTTTTCTCCCTGAAGTGGCTTTTGGCAGGATATTTTATCATAGCAACAACAACAACAACAACAATCCTCAGAAAAGACCCACTATGGTCGGGCAGTGGTGATGCACACCTTTTATCCCAGCCCTCAAGAGGCAGAAGTAGGCAAATCTCTGCGAGTTCAAGGCCAGCCTGGTCTACAAAGTGAGTTCCAGGACAGCCAAAGATTCGCAGAGAAACCTTGTCTCAGAAAACTAAAAAGACCCACTATGCCCTATTCCCTCTTTAACTCTACCCCTGATTCCTCCTGCTACCCATTCAGGCAGCATCTTTTAGTTCTAACCACTTAAAAAACAAAACACGGTCAACATCTTCAAGTAGTCCCGATTCTAATTATCTGAATTAGAATCCTCATTCAAAGTCTACACTTTCCTCCACCCCCAGGATTGTTAAAACTTTTCTTGGTCAATAGGATGTGGTGTCTTCGGCTGCTGAGGCTGCCATCAGTGATGAAGATGTGTGGGCTAGGGCAGTAACAGGTTTACAAAAATGACTCAAGGGCTCTTTAAAAAGTAAAAGTCTACTTAGCACATTTGGTGAACACACAGTGAGGAGGAGCCTCGAGATGAAGAGATGATTAGTCGTAGAATCAACAGTACTTATCGTTTAATTGTAATAGCTAGAAAAGGAAATATTCAACTGCCCATATCCCTGGAAACACAAAGAAAAGTGGTACAGATTTGGAACATTTAAAAAATAAGTTTCTCTCAAACAATATTTCTCCCAACTAAATAAAAGACATCTGAAACGCAAAGATAATTATGGATATCGGGGAGGTGGGCAACCAAACTAAAGAAGCAAAACCAACTTTTAAAATAGTTTAACTACTCATGTAGTGAATGACTGACCATGTCATTCACTAACTTGTCACACAGATTCGGTTAGGCCATCGATGCTGTCGGGACATGGAGAAAGGACGGAGTAGGGTACCAAAACATCCCATAAAGAAAATCAGCATCAGACACAGAAAACTGAAGCAACCAGGCATGCCTGGGCTTGTCTCTTGCACGCTTACTCCCACCTGAGGAAACCCAACAGGCATTGCCCCCACTGTGACACACTGCTTTTCAGCAGAAGCAAGGGCCTCCTCAGGACAGAGGCACAAAAGGCCTAATTCCAGAGCAAAACACCGGTGGGGGTGGGGTGGGGGTGTTTACAGTGCAGGCTTACCCATTACTACATTTTATCTTCATAATGTTCACAGTAAGGGTAAAGACCTCAGAAACACTGCTGTTATATTTACAACCAACATAAAGCTAATCCCCTCTCAAAAAAAAAATCTATAGGCATCAATTACAACAGGTATTGCATTTGAGTAATAAATAAAACCAAAACGTCAGTGAACGCACAAACTGTGAAATACAGAGACCCAAAACACTCGGATCAAATTGCAAATCATTCAAACTGCTGCATTAATTTAAGAGACTAATTTAGAAGCCGATATAAAAATACTTTTCAGATCTTAAAATCCATCCGATTGGACGTGTATGCAATGGCATACATGAAGGATGCACAGGGCTTGATGTCCTAATTTGGAAAGGAGCTGAGAAGACACTAAAGAAAAATCACAGCTCCATCATGTACCGGTTTAAGGGAAATGAACGACCACAGCACACGTTTCCATGGCTGGGCTGGGGCCTACTCCTCCCGGGCTGTATTGCAAACAGCCCTCCCCGTGGCAGAAATGGACCCAGGGAAAAGAAGAAAATTCAGGAGCAGGTTCCTGGCTTCCGCGTAAAGTAGGGGAGGCTGTCCCTGGGTATTCTGGAGAAGAGAAGAGAGAACCTTACTCAGAGGTCACCAGAACGCGGCAAGCAGAAAAAAAAAGAGTTCCAGAGGCTGTTTTACATCCCAGAAGAAGGCTGAGACGGGAAGGAGGCCCTGGCGACCCAGGCTTGGCTCTCAGGACTCAAAGCTGCGCCCCTGCAGCATCGCCCCCGCCTAAGCCATTCCTGGGCTGGGCGCGCACACACGCACTCCGGTCCCGCGCGGATACCG